CTATGCTAAATCTTCGAAAGCGCTTGTTGTCTATGCAAACATATAATACATATATGTATTTGTTTAATGGTCTACAGTTAACAGGACAGAACTCGACCCACATGGCCAATTATGATTGGACATGATTTGGCTCGAGGAAAAAGGGCTCCATCTTGTGTTGTTTTCCTTGTCTTAAGTGCATCTGTTGTACTCAGCTGTTTAACAACTTCAAGCTACGTGGTCACTGTGGTAGGATAGGCAAAGCCTCCCCTCCATACTTCCACATCCGCGCACCTGCTTTGAGGTTGTGCTTGAAATTGCGACACAGGTGCCCCAGGCCCTGCCTCACTCATATCCTGCATGTATTTATCAAAAAGCCAGAGCCAGGCTCGACATCCTTTCACATTCATTACCTGTCACCCGGTGGACTGTTCCACGTGACATTCCATATTTCGAACTCTACGCCTGTGTGTGCAAACAACGAATCTGAGGAACCCATCCACCTAGCAGACACACCCATCCACCTAGCAGACATTTCATGGGGTGTACTTTGATCTGAAGCAGGAGTATTGCTCATCCTGTTGCCCCTGCCTGTGGTCTAGATTGTTCCGCTTCGGAGATGACTTTCTTTAGCTGCGCAGGTTACGGTTCGTGGAAGATCATATTGTTTCACGGTATTATCCCTAGCCAGGTACTTTTGCTGCGTGCAGCTCCGCTTCCGAGCGTCGAGGTGCACTCAGTAGGGTCTTTCGACTAAACCCAGCCGAACCTATCCCGAGCAACCACCCATATCCTCTTGGCACTTTGCCTGAAACAAGGGGCGGGTCGATCTGGTTGTTGTATAGGCTAAGGAAGCGTATTGGAAAGAACAGCAGCGCAGCTTCGTCTTGCGAGACTAAATTGCCTAGGTTCAGGGTGTTTGGTTGATTTCCTTCCCCGGACATCCCACAACTGCAAACGCAACAACAACACCGTTGGACGTTCCACGTGCTGCCACATCAATCCCAGTTCAGTGACGGTGAGACCCGAAGCCCACATCCCGACACCAACAAAGAACTTGGACAAAGTCTTCGACCCGGATTGAAACTGATAGTGGCTTTAGGGGGGTGCAGCTGGCTGAGCTGTGACATCTTCGTAAAGACCGTATCTGCACTTCGGTCAGCGTTTTTGAGCTGGTGTGAATCGTGTGCTTGCGGAGGAGAGCTGGTATCACAGACTCGCCCATACGTTTACGCGTGGTCCTGATACTGTTGAGAGACGTTTGGCTGACGGCAGACGACGCCAAAGCCTCATCCTGAACATCATCCGAGGCTTCCTTACAATCCTGTTGGCACAGGAGGGCTATAGACCTGAAGCTGTCCATACATTGCTCCGCATTCACGAACGCGAGGCTGAGGGAGCTGTCACTTTGGACCGCAGCTACCGCGATTTAATTGGAACTCTTTTGGCAGAGATTGAACCATTGTTTCCGCGGCGCTAGAGACCCAGAACTCCGCCATTGCCGGTATAGGAGCCTGCACCTGACCCCTACCCAGCGGGAGGATACTTAAGGCCCCACCACTGGGTCCGATACGCGCTCCTGGTCATCATTTGCATCCGACGCCGTCCCAAGCACGCTTGGAGGAGCATGTTTATGCACCCGGGTGCGAGACGGAAGCATAGACGACGCAAGAGTAGAGCATTCTTATGTGTCCGAGCGCGGAGACGACGCATCAGATGAGCGTTTTTATGCACCGCAGCGCGAATCTGAGGCTCCGGTATAGACGACGAGCAGGAGGTCGAAGTCATTGAAGAATCGAATGCACCCGTCGTAGAATTGCGCGAGCCAGTTTGTGTATTGCTCAGTTGGGATTACCACCAAGTGCTGGATTTACACTGGGGTGATACTCATTGGTGCAGGCAGCTGCTGGAGGAAGGCAAGCCAGAGCACATTCTTTGGCAAGAGCTGGTACTCTCTTATTCTAGCCTGCAACGCGGTGAGGAGACGCGCCGCGCCCTGAGTCGCCAGCTGCCGGGTATCGAGTTCATTCGGACGGATCGTCCGACGGGGAGGTGGCGGAAAGGACAAATCGGGAAGACATCTCTGGCATGACTGCCCTCCACCTCCCGCTGGGCACTTGGCTTTCGGACCTTAACCCGGAGATTTGTGCGTGGCTGAACATGCTTTAAAAAGAGCCATGGAATCTCAGAGTAGTCCCGAAACCTAAGACACACACACACACATACACACTCACATCTGCATACCTGCACGTATAAGTGTGTAAGCTTTTTTTGCATTCGTTTGTAGAAGACATTATAAGAACTTATGCAAGGGCATGTTTTTTCTTTCATGCTTTTTTGTAGGTAGGTTTCTTTGCACGCATAAGTACTAATCACATTTACCCTTGTTTAGTGTTATTAGTAGTATTATTATTGCATATAACTAATTGATCACGTTGAAAGTTTGGCTTTGGTTTCCACATACGGTTTTTCTCCAACAGCGAGAGCTTGGGACGGGTTCTGGGACGGTTTGGGGCGGGTTCCGATACGGGGGTTTCGGGGTTTTGGGGTTCTGGGGCGGGTTTCTTGTTTGGGGTTCCGGGCACGTTTCCCGGCCAAGTTCTGGGCAGGTTTGAGGGCGGGTTGCGGGGCGAGATGCAGGGCAGTTTATTCGTTGTTTCGCGGAACACAAGGCCCCATGCCCCCGTAGAATGTTAACAAACAGAGGCAATCCTCTGGAATATTAAAGTACTGGAAGCATACAGTAATTTTTACATCGGGGTATCAAAAATGCTTCGTCGGCCAGGCCACGTAATTCGCACTTGTTGCTATTCTGCTACTTCGCAAGAGTCCAGTAATTAGGTCAAAGCTTTTGTCGCCCCGATGCTTCACCGTTCTTTCCGCAACAGAGAAAGCTCTGGGGTCTTCAGCCGAAATAGGGTTAGGGGCAGCAGATTGGGGCAAACAGGCGATTCCTGGCGGGTTCCGGGGCGAGTTGCGCGGTCCGTGTAAGACGATAGTTTTGAAAAGCTTTGACGGGTCGGGGCAGCGGGAGGGGTTCCGCGGCAGGTTCGCGGCTCCGGGTTCTGTGTGGGGGGAGGTTCGCGGTGCGGGACGGTTGCAGGAACAGCTTTCCAGGGCGCACATTCCGGGCATTCTGGGCCATGCGCGGTTCCGAGGCGCGTTTCAGAACAGATTCAGCACCCGGAGCTCCGACCAAGCCCAAAAGATGCCAAAAACATTTTGCAAAGCCTGCTAAATGCATTCGGCGCTAAATTGAGCTCTCGACTTTCCCGACCAAGCCCAAATGCATTTTCCAAGGCTTGCTCACTGCTAAACGCGTTCGGCCTTGGTTTCAACAAATCTGGTGTTGAATGCCGTCCCTGCAGCCGAAAATATAATTTTTTCCAGAGCACCAGCCAAAGCCAAAATGCATGTTTCACGGCTTGGAAAACGCATCTAGAGCTGTTTCAGCTTTAGTGGTATTCGTGGCCCCACTCCTGAAACAAGGTCACACACACTTATTTAACCACTGTGTTTCGCTCACTTTTCAGCAAATCTTCCTCGAAACAAACCGAGGTCTTGAAGCCCTTGACCAAGCCCAGCCACCCATAAACAGCTTTAAATTAGTTTCCAGGGCTTCAAGCAGACCCGAGGTGCAAAATCGCCGAGAGTGCGAGACGACCTTGTAATGACACAGTGTGGACACAGAATGTGACAATGAATCGCTTCGAACATTCGAGATGAACTGGGTTTAAACTGCCGCTGTTGATGAACACATTCCTTACTGGCACAGCCTCTGTCTGTGGAGGACTGTCGAGGCACCTGCCAGCCCACGGGCGACCCCAACAAGCAGCAATCCTGCAACCACACTCAGGCAAGTGCCAAGTGCCTTCTGGGTCATACGCTGTCATACGCAACACGTGTCATTGCCTAGCTGAGCTCCTCTCAGGGCGGTCGCTGCCTCCAAATCGTGGTTTGGCCGTGCCGAAACGACGATGATGCAGATGAGCGGTGTGCTACAGATGTGGGCTTGTATCGCGTGCTGGACAGCACTGGCACATAGAGCACTCATAGTGAGAGAAGTCTGTACAGAACGCCCGGCCAACTGCAGCTGACACAGTGACCTCCCAGGCACGGATGGTGCCCTTCTGGATGCAGTTTTTTCTTCGGAGGTGATGCAAAAAACACAGGCAGTTTCCTGCTCAAGCCGTTGAAGCAGCACCTTTGTTCATCCTGGGATGTTGCTCTGGCCGTCCGCAGGTAGTCGGCTGCATGCTTGCACAGCCATCGTATCTAGAGTCTAGAGTCACCGGTCGTTGGACTGCTCAAAGTCCAACAGTCCCACCGGGCTTGGTTGGCTGATTATGTAAGTGCAAAAGGTAAGGGCTTGCAGTCACAGGATGTGGAGATATGTGAAGACTCGACCGAAGCCGGGCTGTGGTTTAGAAACCCATTGTACATGCAGAAATCCTGGGAAAAAAGCGCTGCCCGACTTGATCGTGTGGCGGTAGCTCCAAGCTCATGAGCAGTTTGATGCATGTTTGCTGCAGGGGCTGGAGAACGGTAGTGGCCGAGACAGGCCTGTCCTGAAACTCGAGGTGCCTGCAGGACAGTGGTGGCACATGGCAGCACTGTCCGCTCCACGAAGCAACGGGTGCAGGTGGCCGCAGAAGAATTTGCCGACCGTCGTAACTACATCCAGCTGGCAGCATGCCAAGAGAAACCCAAGCTTGGCGAAGGCTTTTGTCATTGGTATGCAAGCATCGCGAGAATCCAGAGAATCACAGCTTTCTCAACAAAGCTGAGGCATCTGGTGCAGCCAAAAAGCAAGTCCGTCGCTTTCGTGAAGCCATGGGCCGGCGACCTGTTGGGAGTCCAGAGTCAGCAAAAGGTCGATCAGCGCCGTGCAAGGTCCTCCTCATTTTGGTGAAAGCCGACGACAAGAGTTGTAGCCAGTCTGGTTAAATGGACCGGCAGCAGGGTTATCGCATAACCAATAATGAGTGATTAGTAGGAATCGGACGTTTGAGGCACTGCGAGGTTCTTCGTTTTTTCGTATTCGTACGTAGCTGAGTGAATTCTCCTTCACTGAAAAGTGGATTCAACACGGCCGGCAATGGTGTCTGATGCTACGCCTTCCCTGCAGCCGTTATTGGGTTTGTGATGCTCCAACTTAGCCTGCAGCTGCTTTTGCTTTCCCATTGTAAATGTGCGGGTTGAAGATTCTTGACCGCGACACCAGGGGTGGCCTGTTGGCATGAGGCAGCTAGGTCCATCATTTGATCACCAAGCAGGTCCATGATTTGATCACCAGTTCACGTTTTTGGGGCTTCAATTTGTCCATGGGAACAGCATGCAGCAGTGAGACATGCCGCGTCCCAAGATGTGTTTATTTGCCACGGCATTCGTTTCGTGAGAAGGCAACTCTGAGAAATCAGCTCTCACACCCGAGCCAAACCATTCGTGCAGCGGTGCCGGCAACGACCAGTCCGAAGACATCTGAGCCTGTGGCCGTCGTCAGACGTGTTGGATCGCCCGCGAGCACAGCTCGCAGATCGTCGGACGTTCTTAAGGCATGTCTAGTCGCTTCTCAGCCGGGTCTGAGTGGCAAAGGAATACTTGGACCGGCTGAGCCAGAGACCAAGCACTTGGCAGTGCAATCGCCTGCAAAAGCACCAGAACCGCTTCAGCCCGTGAAGTCATTGAATTCTTCAATGCGGCGACGTGCGTTGGCATTTCATGGAGCATCTATGGCCGCGAGGAAAGAAGAGCTGCTCGACATGCACCCGGATCGACTGGCCATTCAGCAGGACATTCTGCGAGCCAGGAGCGTGGGACGCATTTTAGCCATCTGCACAGAAGAGGTGCTGCAAGGAATGGACTCGGTAAACTTGGTAACAGCCCTGCACAGGGTTGCCAAGCTGTATGATGGATCGCACATAGCCCTGGTTGACAATCCTCGCTTTGAGTTGATGCTGAGTGCAGTATCGCACAAAGTTGATGCTCTCAACCCACGTGGGATGGTCCACCTGGTGTGGTCTCTGGCAAGTCTGCAGTGCTGGCCGGACTGGTCGGGAGACTTGATCGGTCGTTGTGCGCAGTGCGAATCATTTACCGGGCGCGACTTGAGCGTTCTACTGGGAAGCCTTGCCAAGTCGAAACCACCCAAACACTTCAAGCAGTGCGAGCAGCTGCAGGAATCGTTGGTCAGGCAGCTCAGCGAGAGACTGCCCGAGCTGACCACGTCGCTTGATCTAGCTTGCGCCGCCGCCGCCCTTTCTCGCTTGCAAGTTCGAGATGAAGGGCTGTTTGTTACAATTGCACAGCAGGCGATGCCCGTCCTAAGTGAGTTCTCAATGTCAGACGTTACTTCCCTCCTGTGGGCGATGGCCATCTTGAACTTCACTCACGGTGAGCTGTGCGAACAGATCCGGCACCTGCTGCGGCAGAAAGCTGAGAGTTGTTCGCCGAAGGAAATAACCCAAATTGCCTGGGCCTTGTCCCGATTGCAGGAAGCTGACGAAGAGCTACTGACTGAAACCATAGCCCCTGTGGTGCGCAGCAAGTTTTTAGATTTCGAGGCTCCCCGAGACTTGTGCACACTAGCGTTTGCGTTCAGCAACGCCCGCGTGTTTGACGAAGGCATTTTCAATGATTTTGCCCACACGTTGACGTCCAAGGTCCGTGTCATGAATGCACATGATGTTTCTAGTGTGGTTGCAGCTTTCGCTGGAATAGAATATGCGCACAAAGGCTTGTTCAAAGCATTGCAGAAGCACGCCAAAGCCATCACAGCATCATTCACTCCACTACAGATCGCTCGCACTATCCACGGCTTCGGTACGGCAGGAGTCGACGACACATCCCTGTATAAAGGTCTTTTTGGACAAGTGCTTCAGCAACGGCACCTGTTGCATGCGAGCAATATCGTTGAAATCTTGATCGGATTGGCAGAGGCTGAGTATGTGCCTGAAGGGCTCGAAGAGTTGCTGAGGGATGCAAGGCGGCTCGTCAAATGGCTCGATGCGGCAGAGTGCATCCATGCCCTGCACGCATTGTCTCGACTGCAGGTAGATGCAAAAGATCTCATTCCCGAGCTTATGAAAACAATTCGCGGTCGTGCACAAGGATGGTGGCGTTGCAATCTGCAGGACATGGCAGATCTCGTGGAGGCAATGGTTGGGTTGAAGCTAGATGACTCGCTGCTCTTAAACATCTGTGCAGGGCAACTCCCACGCTTGCTGTCCAAGACGGTCGATACACCTACTTTTCTTCGCCTTTGGGGTGCTTTCGCAGAGCTACGTCCACACATGAGGGAGAGAGTTCAAGAGCGTTTGCAGAAGAACCAGCGATTTCGAGATGGCGTGGCTGCTTGTCTCTCTGCAGCTGCAGAGGGCATCCGGGCCGTGAGAGCTTCAAATTCAGAGTGCTTGACAGCAGCAAGAGCTGCTGCACAGCTTCTCTGTGCTTGTGCTTCGCTGTCGTGGGATCAAGCTCCAGTTCCCGATGTAGTGCAGGTGATGCGGGAAATGCTAGGGCTCGAAGTGGTGTGGCAGCAGGGTCAATACCAGCATTGGTGGCCACCGCTGGTATGGGCTCTCGCCGAACTGTGTTATGACGATCTTGCAAGGCATGTGTTGCTGCCATGTTTTCAGAATTCTTCCCTTAATTCCATGGATGCAACAGGCAAGCTGTATTTGGCCGCTGCCGTTGTATGCCTCGGTTTTGCTGAGGAATTTGCAGGTTCAAAGATTCTGCTTGATGTGAAGCTCACAAATGAACACGATACCTACCATACCGACAAGCACATGGTGTTGCAGTCACTGGAACTTGAAATGGCTATTGCAGGAATGGATTTTATGCAAGGGGCCACGCTACCTCATCTTGAAGTGAAGCCAACTAGCCTTTGCAGTGCAGGTTCACTATATGACTATGCCGACCAAGTTTCAAATGCTTTGGTCGAGCTGGCTATAGCTCACGAAGCCAAAGTGATGATTGGAGGGTGTCATTATGTACAAGCTGTCCTTTTTGGTGAAGTTGCACTGCTTATCCAGTCTCCACGGGACTTAACTATTTCAGGTTCAATGCTGGCTTCCGCACGAGCGCGCACCAGACAACTGACATCCCTGGGTTGGGTCTGCAAAGAGTTCTATTTCAGCGACATAGAGCAGGCTCTGCAAACGTCTGGAGGCTTGAAGAACTTGCTCGCTCCCTTGAACGCGGCAAAATAGGTCGTCAAGAAATTCAGGTGTATGTTGTTTTGATTGCGATTGTGCAAAACGGTGCCGCCACCCCTTGAATGCCCGGCGAGATTGCTGGGACATGCCGGCAGCAATGGGGCACTTTTTGTTTGGTAAAGAGAGGGAGAAGAAGCTTTCAGGATACAGTAACCGACCTAGAAGGTGCTAGAGGGTTGGGGACATGGTCTTCATGGCAGAATTCTCCATTCACCCATTCCTTGCAAAGTGTTGGTTGATCACACTGATCGGATATGTTGCACGTTTAGTTTGAGAGCACTCGGAGAGGGTTGCCAGAGGCATGTAAGAACTCCTGACCGTTCACTGTACACATTTCCCAGAGTATAACCCCACCGTGAACTATAACAGCCGACTTACAATGTTCTGAGTTTGATTTCGCGACCGCACTCAAGCAATACACAGAGGTCCATGCATCAGACGTTTGGGAGCCTCGTGCAAAAAACAAGCAAAGGACATGACATTTCGTGGTGTACACTTGCCCACAAAGATGCAGTCGCAATCGTCTCTGACGTCCGTGCATATCAGCTCTTGGCCCAGAGCAATGGCTGATTTGTCATCGCAAGCATTCCCGGTCAACACTCCGAAGTTTTGGGGGAACGAGAAGGTCTCACACTGAGTGGTTCAAGCAGCTCCTGGAATGGACTGCTCCGAAGAGCCCAAGGCTTTCGAGCGCTCCTGTTTTCCAGGAGTTGGTGGCAAAGTGCATTGAGACGGGCTGGATTTCCTCAGAAGGCCGCACCCATGCTTTGCCCAAGAGACCTGTTGCAATGAAATCTGATGCATGGTAGCGAGCAAGGTCCGGCAGTGAAGGATTTCGAGAGCAAACTAGCCGCCAGATGTCAACGAAGGATTCCGTGACTGTGACAGATGGGCAATGGTCAGGCCTGCCGCCGACTGAACTTGTATGCCTGTCAGGCATGGCATCGCATGTGCGAACGGCACGGCCGCCCTGGATATAGCCGTGCAGGTGCAAATCTAAGATTTCAAGCTGTTTGATCCAACGGGATCGCATGCAGTTCTGAGATAAACCGGTCTGCAGGCGCTTGGGCTTGGGCAAGGTGATGAGGTGCGGACCTCTTGTACGGGCCATGTGAGTTTGGCACGGCTAATTCGTTTGGAATAACTTAACTTGGGGCTGTACAGGTGAACTCGGCAGCAGTCCAACAAGTTTTTTGCTCAATCCGAGGCTCAAGGTCAAGTTTGCTACCGTCTAGTTCTGTTTGGCAATGACATCCCCTGCGCATGGACGAGAAAGCCCGCGGTGACAGCATCGGCACATCTGGTCAGACTGGGTTGAACATTTCGAGTGATGCCTGGCCGAGCCGTCTTTATGGTCTCCCCTTTACTGAATCGTTACCAAATTTAGTGGTGAGTGTGGGCCGATAAAAACATACGGCATCAGTTTCTTCGATCCAGAATCAGAACTAAGGCAGTGGACAAGACTGCCGTCGAACAATCTGCGTCATCTTCAGCAGGTGCTGGAAAGCAGGGTGCAAGCAAAGCACCACTGTCCCAACGAAAAGCAGTTCAGCGGCAGAACTTGGAAGAGGCCCGCGCATACGTCATGGTGTATGACCAGGTGCAGAAGAAGTTGGTCATGAACGGAACATCAGACAGATTTGTCCATGATATTTGGGAAGGTGCTGCAGGGTCCTGACTGCTACGAGAAGATGGGCGACGTGATGGCAGTCTCCTGCGTGAGGAAGGCCCTTGAAAGGCTGAATCCGGTCCCACAAGCATGCATCCGACATCACTAGAACAACCACTTTGAATATCCTTTCACTATTGCTCCGCGACAGTGGTGATGGTGCAGACTGTACATAGAAGTGCCTACCATCTTTCACACAAACCGGCAGGCGCAACCTTCCTGGTTTAATGCTTTGGTGCTTTCACTGCTGCTATCAAGCAATTGCCGGTTCCTGTCAAAAAAGCTGGGTCCGCTGCTGTGCCTCCAGAGTCCCAAGACATTGTGTCCGTTTCGGTCGTCTCGCCTTGAGGTCATCCTGCCGACCTTCTGCATCATCTCATGCATAAATCAGGCCAGGCTGCTTGTTTATTTGTAAAGAGCTATCATAAGGTCAGACTTCGTTGCTCGTTTGCGTAATTCTGCTGTACAAACGACAAACCGTGCACCAGTCATATTGTCTGGCTTGCTATGAGCGGCTTGCTTCGCGTAGTCTGTCCTTTCCCGGTTGTCTCGCTTGCTTCCAACCGGTTTACTTCGCGCGTCGGTGGTTGCTTTCGCACTCTTTACATTCATTTTCGCGTCGTAAGTGTTCGCATGTGCAGGGGGACGGAGGGGGTGTAGAGGAGCTCCGCCGTCCAACGAAGTTTCCCACTACACCCTGGGAAAACGTGCCTGCTTCGTCTGTGGCAGCTGTTGGGGCATTCATCTTCATGTTCATCCTCATCTCATTTCGTCCCACGTCATCCCTTTGTGTCTGGCGTAGCGAGGGGCCGAACATGGTACCAAATTTTTCATGTCATCGCCATCATCATCATCATCATCATCATCATCATCAGCATCATTTTGTTTCATGTACATGACATGAGGGTACTCGCAGACGTGCATCTTTAAGTAACGACCTTAGTCGTTTTCGACATCCAGCTTGGGTCCCGCCGCCTTGATCAGACTTGTTTCGCACGACTGTGTTTCTGCCTTGCAGGCCTTGATCGTTTGATCATCTCGGTCCGATTGTCTGTCTATTGCCGTCCCTCTTGCCGCTTGAGTCTGCCAGAGCTGCTGTAGCGTCCAAAGCCTGCTCGAAGTTCATTGTCATCCCAGGTGCAAATTCAAGATTCCCCCAATCTGCGCCGTAGATCATCGCGTGGTCTCCGGCCCGCCAGTGATTCGTTTTATTGGCCCATGACAGATTCTATCAAAAGCCGAGAGATCCAGTGGCCAGCGCCCCCTTGCAGCACTGCTTTAATCTTCGTTTCCGTGAACCGCGCTGATGCCTTTGCAAACCTTGTGGTCTCCAAAATTTTCAAGAAGATTTACTTCAATATTGAAGGTGGGAATCGGCAAAACATCCTACCTAACTGCAGATCGTCCGTGGCGGCTCCAAGCCGGTCCTGGTCGATTCGGCGGAAACCTCAGCGAGAGCTTTCAACAGGATCTGAGAGAAAGAAGTGCTTCATATTTGGCCGGGCCAGTGGTGCTATGCAGCCTTGAGGATGACAGCTTTAACATGGACGTGTCCCAAGTTGCGGCGAAGCTCACGCCCAAAACGAAGGCAACCACATTTGCGGGTAAAGGACATATCCGGTATCAACATTGGCAGGCCATCCTGTGCGTTCACACATACCACTTTCCTGTCGACATGGAGCCAGCCTCCCGAAACGAATGTATTTGTGCATAGGCTGGATTCCAGTAGGTCTGCAATCGGTGGTTGATGTCCGTACCCGTTGAAGCGGGCGTGCATGTGCAGAAGCCATGTGACATGGTGTCGAGGCCAATCATGGCTCTTGCGAAGGACACTTGCGATGTTGGACGACATGTACTCCGCTGTGAGGCGATTGGCTTGCAAACTTTCCTATGTTCAGGAGAAAGGCCTCAAAATCATCGAAGATGCCGCAGAAATGATTGGTCAGTGCGGTCCTTAACGCTTCATGGTCTGGATCTGATGTGCTATCTACGTCTCGTTGAGGACCTGCGCAGGGAAGCCTTGTGGCTCCTTTGGTGACATTAGCACCATGAGCTTCTACCCCAACAAGCACATCACAACAGGTCCGTGCCCTCTGAGAATAGCTAAACAGCCAAGCCTGGACTGCGAAGCGTGCAAAACAGCATGGGGGCCGCAGGGCGACAGCACAACGTGAACTGCCTTTGGTGGGGGAAAGCTCGCACCACTAAAGCAATTACGAGGGACACGCAACAGACTGTTTGCCAGCTTCAGTCATGCCGGGGTCTGTGTAGTCAGAATGGAGCTTCGTAGTCACCAGGGAGCTTCGAAAACATATCTTGGTGCTGTTGCTTCTGCTTGTTTAGCATACGCAGGTGAAGGTGGAATGGTGCTCTGCGATGATCCTGAATTGGCAGATCGGCGCTGGCCTCAGCCTCCTGCTGCACCAGGGGAGCATCAAAAAGCTCGCAAAGAGAGCCTGAGGAGGGTAAGAAGGCACTTTGAGGCAAAGAGGGGTGTTCTCTTCTGTCCTGGTACGAGGAGGAGGTGTTGGAGGATAGAGGTTTGAATTTCACATCCGGATGTGTTCTGTTATGGTCAGAGTTGTACTAGTCGCGAAATGTCAGAAGGGTTAACGGATCCGATCATTGGCCGGCAGCAGCCACGGCTTCTGCTCAAACCGTGTTCCCTGAGGTGCCGAAAGCTGCGAAATCTGTGCTTCGATCCCAAGAAGAGACGTTTCGTGCATGAGGAGAAGACGTGAGTGCCAGTTGCTCAAACCCACAGAGCCGCTCCCCATGAGGAGCTCGGATGGAATTACAGAATGACCAACCTGCAGGTGGCCTAGCACTCTGAAAGCGCAATAGTGCAGCCTTGATAGTATCAGGCAGCCTTAGGGCTGGGGCAGCTGGAATTCTTGGATTCCGCTGTGCTTCGCAAGCGAGAGGCCAAACCGCAAGACATATCGTGCAAACAAGAGGTCAAGCTGGAATGCTCACCATGAAGCAGAGACTGTTTCACGTACGCACACGCCATTCTCATGCAATCTCACGGTCATGCAATCTCACAGTGTGCCACGTTGTGTGCATAGGCTCTTCTTGACTCCTCGGATATGTGCTGTTGCAGGGATGGAAAGCAGTACGACCGAATCACGACTGGAGAGGGGAGCTTCGTTCAATACTTCACAACGTGAGCCTGGGATGCTAGGGTGACGGTCTGGGCTGGGGGGGGGCGCTGGAAAAAAAGTCCGGGGCTGGCAAGATGTCGAGCCTCTTCGGCACGAGATGCCGCTGATGCTGGCCACAGGGTCCTTCTGATGCTACTGATGCTGGGTCCAGAGGTGCTCCT